AAAGGATAATAACTTATATCCTTTAGGACGAAAACTAATTATTCATGACCATTTTAATAATTATTCTTTTATTATATTTTAAAATTTAAATTGAGTTTACATTTCACGCAGTTATTTAAAATTGTTTCAAGAAGTCTACATATAATTTGTTTATTGTTTTAAACACACATCAATAAGGTACATCTGTATTTTATCAGTTATGAGCAAAATATCCTCTATATGATTCTTAATATTATGACATAATTTTATTGTAATGAATCTACTGAAAATAATTAACTTACTTATATCACTCTTCTCCGTCCAACCCACTTTTAACTCATGCCGAATATCAGTGTACTACTTTTTCATCGTGACCCTGATGACATTTTAAGAATGCTGCTATAAAGACATCTCGCCAACCATCAATGACACAATCAGAATAAACAGTTTTGAACTTCTTTAAATGAAAACCCAAGGAATATAAAAAACGAAATTCGAGTTATGATGGAGTTAAAATATGGTGTTCTCACTGTAAATAGAATTCGTGATCTTCCTTGGATTTCGATGTTCGAGTTTTATTTTATATAAAATGTATATAAGTAATACGGTATTTGATGAAATTACATATTTTTAAATTATGAGAAATTTTGACAAAAGCACAAAGTATTCTTATTTAATTCACCCTACACATAATTAAACAGCTATACACTTGGCCATGAATATATAAATAAGATTTTTTAACGTGCGATTAAAAAATAATCATCAACAGAAGTTGCGTTAACCAAGTAAAATTTTATAATTTTATATATTATACGAGCTGGCCACGGTATGATCTTTAGTTAAGCAGTTATTTATAATAATAACGTAATATACCTGTTAAAATTGGCAGAATTTGGAGCTTGATGAAGAGTAATTGGTACTGGGTGCATTTGTTAACATAAATACGAAAGGATAAATTAATTTAATATTTTCCATTAATAATTATGCCTATAAAAAACAAAAAGATATTCATTAAAAATATTAACTGATCAATATTACTCAAATAGTACTTAGAAAAAATTGTGTTTTTATTTTAACATCTCAAATATATGTATTTAGAATATATTCACAATAATTTTTAGTTAATCATTTTTTTGTATCTTGCTCTTAAGTTTGGATAAATTAAAAAAATCCTCCACTTACACTTCTGCTGTTCTTATAATAATGTAATATACGAGTTCATATTAAAATAATATAATAAGCACGTTTACAATTATTATTTTTAATTAAAATTTTTCAATCATGTTAAATTCAGTTTGATTTCGAATTGTTTCCAGGTATACAGTTCAAAACAATATAGTAAATCCGTTTTTAATGCATTTTAGATAAAAAATAATCAATAAAATATAATACAATGACATCGACTTCTTTTTATTTTAATCACTTTGTTCGTTTGTCGTTCTGTATTATTATTTGAACAAAACGAGCAAACTTATCTAGTACTATGGTAATGATAATATACATTACGCAAAAATACGTTGCTTTTATTATTTTTTTTTTTAAATAGTTAAAAAATAATAATAATAATAATAATAATAATACATAAATATATCATCAAGATTTTTCTCTATCAGTAATCTTAAGTTAGTTTTGTATTTTTTAATATGTTTTAATTTTTAAAGTGCAAGCAAAATAAGCATAAAATTTGTTTTATGATTTATTTTGTTTATATTACTGTATATGAATTCATTATTGAGTATGTTTTTCGAAAATAAATAAATAAAATCTTAAAAATCAATGACATCCGGTATACCTTCAAAAACACGAATATCACACAAAATAATATTTAATCCAATTCAAAATTAACGGAGTAACTGATTTTTTTTTCATATAACTACTACTACATGTTAACTATTTCCGTTGGTTAATGCCATATAGTATAATATACGTACTGTATAAACTACTACAGTATTATATTTCGACTTGATGGTATAAACACGAGTATTAATGATATTTCTGATTTCATTACGACTTTTGAACTATAAACAGGTTAGATTAAGTTAGGTAGCTATTGTGTAATTTAAAAACTTAAACTTAAACATAACATATTATAAAGTTAGTAATTACTTTTTACTTTTGAAAATTATTGTCTTCACAGTAATAAAATGTTAACGTATGCTAGGTTAGGCAATTAGAATTTATTAAGCATTATTCATTTATTCGTGTGTAAAAATATTATTAAAAAAGTGTAAAATAGCAAAGTTGACATAGTGAAGAAGTGACAATCATTCAAATTATTTTTATTTATAATTTTAATAAGTTTGAATATTTTATTTAAATTGAAGGACCTACTATAACAATAACACAATACCAATTTCATAAATATTATAGGAGAAATAAAAAAAAAAATTAATTATTATTAGACATTTCTAGTATAGCATATAAATATAATTCCTATTTGAACGTTAAGAGTGATGAAAAATGATTGTAAGTAAAGATAAAATCTTAATTATTTTTCTTACTAATTAAATACAATTTTTGAATTTGAATACACAGAGTTATTTGGTTGTTATGCCATTTTTAATATAATTGTTTAGTAATGTATAAAACTTGAACTAAAAAGAGTATTTTTTATTGTATATATTAAAGTAAAATCAATATTTTCACACGTCTATAATATTATATTTAAATTTACAATAAAAAATCCTGGTGTATTACTAATAATTATTTATAGGCGTTCAATACTATAAAAATATCTATCTTAAATGTATTAACTTAAATTACTGTCTATATTATCTAAACTAAAACCTAACAATTTCGAAAACTGATCTCGAAACCTAAACCAAAATCAAATAAATTTAAAAAAATAAAAAACATTCTCAAAAATAAAATCTTAAATATTTTAAGCGGTTTCAAGTACTGGTTAAAAGTATTTAAAGTTTTAATGAGCGGAGTAGACCAATATTTTTCTGAGTACCCTTATGTGACTCTGCTCGTCTAAACTTTAAATACTTATACCCGAACTCAAAACTATTTCAAAAGCCTATCTAAAATAACTACTCGTTTATAATTTGATTTTTCGAAATACTTTTAAAAATGTATTACATTTATTCTAAAGACAAACGTAAATATCTGAAGGACACGTAAACATGAAAAAGTATAAAATAATAAATTCAAAATTTAATAAAAATTATATAAAGTAATAATATGATACTATTATATAGTTTTCGGTTACAAAGTCTCTACGAATAAAATATATCAACAAAGGATATCATTATAACAACTCCAGTATATCATCCACATACGATTAATATGCATAAAAAAAAAAGAAATAGAATATAATGTTATATAATATTAATATGGACAGACGGGAGAAATTGAAAATCCATCAACTCAAATATTATGTATAATATGACATTGCTTAACAAATAATATTCACAGTTCAAAATGTATTAAACTGTATGCGTTTTTTCTGCAAACATTCGAAACGGTTTTTAAAGCATTTCCATCGTATGCAAAGACGTAGTAGGTTCCTTTGTATTATATTACGCGTGGATATTAAAATTGTACAAACGGTTTGTTATGTACTACGTATAAGGGATGATATTTTTTTCATTAAACAAAGAAAAAATGTACACAAGATTTATTAAAAACAATGAAAATGAAACATTTCATTATTCTGTAAATTAATTTTACTTTTTTTTTTCTTTTTTTTAACAAAATATATTTATTTCGTTAAGTATTTATGTCAACTCAAATAAAATGTTAAACAAGCCAAATGATTTTACTCACCATAGCATCATAATATTTTCAATAGTCTTAGTCGAAATGTGTAAAACGTGCTATTTAATTTTTTTTTTTCATCTTTCCTCTATAATGCCTCTATAATTTGATTTTTATTTCGATACAATATAATACATAATAAACGTTAATTGTTTTGATTGCATTGTTCTTAAACGGCGATAAAATTCTGAAAACATTTCAGCTTGTTAAGCTATTTCGTCAAATCCCTGTAATTTTTTATGCATAACTTAATTTATATTTGAGTGATTGTATAGGAAGTAATTATTATTACTATTATTAACAAAGATACCGTCACTGCTATGTTTCACGCATAGTCGTCGTAACACTACAATGCCCTGGGCTTAGTACCTACTATACATAAGATTTTTTAATTAATAGAGTTGTACTAATAATCATTTTCCGGAAATTACGTACTACTGATACTAAAGGAGAAGTTTATTTTATAGAAATAAATTTCAAGAAGGAAAGCAATTGAAAGGTTAGGTGGATGGATTTTGATCCTTTAAAGGGATAAACCTTCTCTGTGTGACTCACTGTTTCCGCTTACACATAGTGACTCGTTTTTCGAGCTTCTGACACAAAAATGCTTGGTGGTGGTAACGAAAGGGTAAATTCACCATTCACTATTTGATCCCTCGTCCAGAGAAACTGCAACAGGCTTAATTTATATAATACAATTACTATACATAAGTACAACGGATCTAAAACAGAAAAATGGATGGTAAAAGAAGAAATGAATTATCCTATAGTATATAGAGTATTTTTCACGATGTGATGGAGTAGGCAAGGTGTGATTTTTTTAACTATTTATTTTTTTTGAGACACATCTTTTAAAAAAAATCAATCATATTATTTAATTAAATTATATAATTTTAATTTTTTTTAACCAGATCCCCTATTATATATTTTTTTAAGCGTCTTTATAAACTCAATTGTAAATATTACAAAAAATATAATATAAAAATATGTTCAGGTAGGTAGGGTATGTGAAATATGTCAAAACGTAAATTATATACTAAAATGGCATTTAAATATTCGCTCAAAATGGTCAAAATTTATACCAAGTCGGATTACGAGGTATGAATTTTAATTCGTGTAAAGATTATTAGTAATAAATATATTCATATTTTTTTTATTGTCATCGCAATCTTGGTTTTACCAAGAGATTTGTGTTTAATATTTTAAATTATAATATACAACTTTAGTACTGTTCACTAAACTGTATTACATTTTTTCAGTAAAAATTGATCAAATGAACGCGCCAACGGACAACGCAGCCGCTCGATACCCATTCGTCCAAATCGGTAGAGTGAAAATTTTTTAAACTAATCTAAAATATTAAATTTTATGAAATTCCGTATCGTGGTTATGCTATTACATCAAAACAATTATATTTTATAAAACATTGAATGGGAAAATAGACCATGTGGTTGGTATGTGATATTAGAATATACACCTATTATATATTTATGAACACCCAGCATTAGTGTATGTAGAGTAAAAGGTTTTGCCAAAAAGATTGAAAGACTTTGAACACTAACCAATTTCGTAGAGTTCAAATCTTGTGAGGTGGTTTTTATTTTCCGAAGCATTTTGACGTGGATACAAATCGTAAATACGTGCAAATAATAATAATAATAATAATAATCTAATATAGGTACTTATATACCTCTATATTAAATAAAAATACATTATTTAATGTCTATCAACACGTCTTACAATGAGGGTCGGATGTTATACGTTTGCAAAATTATTTGAATATACATGGGAATAGCAATATTATATTCTCGATTAAAAAATATAAACGAACTTTTTATTGCTCTGCAAGTTTTGGGACTTTTTCCCAGAAAAGGGTGCTTACATAAAAATCTCGAAACCTTAATTTAACTGGCAAAAAAGTTATTATTTTTTTTTTCACGTACCTTGAAGTATACATATTTTGTCACACCCACAGATACCTGGTTTCTAAATTAATTTTTAAATTGTTATATTCTTCGAAATATAAAACATTATACGATTTAGTAATTAGTCACGAACATTGTGGAACTAGAATAAATTATATATGTTTATAATATATTTTATGGTTTTATTATGGCAGAGAGCAGAGCTGCATTTAATTTCGTGGCCAAATCAATTAAATGCCAAAAATGTTTAATGAAAATGCTCGCAGTATCTCGATTATTATTCACGCCGGTCTCGCATAATTCATATTAAATAATTTTAGTTCGAGCGCGCCACGAACTCATAACGTATATCCGTAGTGGTAACCGCGGTTTACCAGTGGTGCAATAAGTACATAATAATATAACATGTATTATGGTAGGTGTATATTTGGTTTACTGCGGACAGTACAACAACAATGATTGTGGTTGAGGTATAGTTATTGCAAGTGACAGTGCGTATGACTTAGTTATTATAAACGCATATTACAGATTACTTATAGTATTTTATATTATACAGTCATTTCCGATGCAGTCATATAGTTCTATCAGTACTGCAGTTTAAGAAAATAGTATCACAACTTATAATAATAATATTTTATTAACGAAATAAATTTCCAATTTACAATAATATCTTAATATTCTATATTTTAATGTCGTCATTTATTGGAGTAACTTATATAATATTTTATCGCATGCACAATACGGTACAAATGTAGTTAATTTGAGAACTTGGCCAATCGTGAACTTTCTGCATTTTATGCAATAGTATAGGTACCAATAATGATACAAATTAGATTATTGGTTTTTATGGACAATTTATTAAAGGCCCTTTATCAAATAATAAAGAAACAAAAGTATTAAACAAACGTACATTATAACAACATTTTTACACTCCAATTAAAACAGCAATTAAAATATTGTCACCGTTATAATAAAAAGCTCAACATTTAAAAATAAAAACTATACAGTATATGACTTAAATAATATAAACACGAGTTAAACGTGTATAAGGTTAAATTTATTTGAGAGTTTTAAAAATAATTTTATTATAACTCGTGTAACGCCAAATTATTATTCTCGGAGAGTTTCATTAAAAAGAATTAAAACGCTTAAATTGTGTTTAGGAATTAAAAGAAGTAAAACCACTCATTTTTTATGGTAAGCCTTACCCTAAAAACGGCTTTCAACTTTTAATAATCGTCAGTAGGATAAAAGAAATCGTTTAAAATTGCACCAAGAAAACGTAACCGAAGATTTTTTCTATGTTTGAATATATTTTTTAATAACAATTTAGAAACAACGACTAGAACAAATCGTAAAAAAAGAAATAACAATATTTAGAGGTGACTACTATATTTGTATAAAAGACTTTTGACAATATTTTTTACGGTTGTTAATATTTTTTTTTCGTGTATGGATTAATTAGAGATGAAATCTTTAAGTTGACCTAAGCATTAAAATCATAGGTAATTATATGATTAAGTAATAAGAACAAGATTTAATAATATATAATATACATTTGTTTTCGGTCAAACTCGTTGTATATCTTTACAATATAATGTATATTTATTAGAGGTAACCGGTCATCAAATTATGACTTCAACAAACACTCATATGAAATTTATATTGTTATAATTTATATGTCAATTTTGTTTTCATTATTTTATTTTTTTGCAGCCTAAACTACCACCTAATCTAACCAAAGTGTGTTAAAAGAGCTAAACAATGGAAAAAGTTATTGTTTAGTAAGATTTTGTAATAGTTATTAATAGTGTTTATTATACTTTTATAACAGAATAAATCTATTGGCATTATTTAATACGTTATGAACAACGCCGTGAGGGATTAGCTAGTGTATATAAATATGTAAACAAATCACAAATAAATTGCATGTAATGACTAAATAATGTGCTCTAATATTAGCTTGCATTTGGATTGCAAAAGAGGTTTGTTAGGAGTACGCAAGGCTATATTATCTGTTTTTTGAGTTGTTTTTTTTTTTTTATCATAACGAAACTCACGAAAATATAATCTGGGACACGAGTAATATGCACCGATCGCCGTAAAAGGCCGTTGTTGTTATTTAGCTACCAGTTACACACGTCAATATGAATTTGTTCGTGGTCCCAAATCATAGGCGCACTATTAACGTCATAACCATTATGACATTTACCGCTCGTTTCCGCCGTTTAATAAATCATGATTGTATTATTCGTACGGTGCCGCGGAGACAGAGTACACACCCCACGTTCGTAGTTAACTAAACGTAAACACACCGACGTTATTACCTATTTACCGTGAGCCTACCCCCGTGTTGTGTGACTGTGTGCGCGTTTTCCTTTCTTTTTGTCACATTACATCATGGTTAGTACGACATAATATTATGCGTTTTACTGTCGATGGCGTGTCGATAAATACACGGACGTTCTTTCAATTGGCACTTCCGAGAGACCGTAATAATAAAACGAGAACGATCTGATTCGGTTGTACGCGACGCGTCGTCGCTCTAGTCCTTACAGGTATAATATACCTAATATTTTAATGGATTATGCGAGCTCTGGCTTACTAAATGCGATTACAGTTCGAATGGGCTTACTTGACTTCGGTACAATAATTATATTGCGCCTAACACCTATAATCTATATCACAATATAGTTGTTACTTATTAAAGTCGTTTCGTGATTATTGTTGTTAAATAACTTTTGTTTTGTACAGTTCACGCAAAGCCATAACATTTATACGCAAAACTATATGTTTTTTAATCGTTTTGGTATTCAATGATTTCATCAGACCGTTTTTGTTTTATTAGAAACGCCTGTTCAGCAAAAAGAGTTCGAATAAAAAAAATCGATAATAATCGGCTAGAGAATTCAATTTATATGAACAAATAGTATATTATATTATGTGTATCAAAATATAAACGAAAATTGCGTAATTTTTATATACATAAGAGGATATAATTTCAACATAAATAAACCTTACGATTATCGATGAATACACGTTATCATAATACTTTTTGAAGTGCATACAAACAGGTACAATTTTTTTCATTTAATAATACTCGAAAATATCACAATTTTAATTACGCTTGTGTGATCATAAATTATTATATCATTATCTCTATTTCGTATACACCTACAACTTTTTATGTGAGTTGTATTTATGTAAAAATTAATTTTATCTATAGTACTAGTTTAATTAGTATTAAAACAACTTTACTATTTAATATTATTCTATACAATACTTGAATTATAAATGATTATGATAGATACCTATTTTAAAGGTTAAAATTAGTCTTTCTTCAGTATATATACTGTATGGTGCATTTTTAGACAATATTTGTATAATATAAGTACGTATCAACTCTTAGTGAATGATACTTGCTTTTTATTAAATGCATATCTTATATAACTTAATAAAAAACATTTTCTACTAATTTGAATAGTTTTACAATATATATCTAAATAATAACCATAGTATATGATACCGATGGTAAATTTATTAGTATAACTTTCATTTTGTTTAAAATTATATTGAGTATAAAATGAATGTGAAAAATATACACGTGATATGATAGTGTTTAGATTTAAGAAATAATATGGTACCCAAAATATTACCCAGAATAAATTAACGTATATTGTTATACAATTTATTATGACTAATTTCAATACATATAGTCATAACTGATCATAATAATATTGGTAAAAATTGTAAAATTTAAATAATTTGTTGGCCATAACTAACTTTTTGACCAATTGATCCAATATTCAAATTACCTATGTTTAGATATTTTGATTTATTAGGTTTTTGTGCCAAGAAAAAATGTAAATAGTTTTTTTATATATTTATGGATACATAAATTTTATGTGCTACTATTTTTAAAACGAGTGGAAATCTTAAAATATTAGAAAAAAATACCTAACCTAAACTATGTATGTCATCTAATTTGAATCTTAATTTATTCCATTAAACATAAAATATATACAATATCTATGTTCTATATTTTATATTACATATCTATGCAGTTATGTATTTTCTTCTGGTTAATTATTTGTTTTTCACTTTTTTGATTTATGAAACACATAAATATATTTATCTATCTTACGAGTTTATATAAAATTAAAGAATTTAAATAACATTTTATGAACAGATTTATGGTAGATAAAAATTATTATAAACGAAGAAAACAATCACGTTTCGGTAAGACGTGAAATCAAAAATAAGAATGACATTTTTGCATTTGCTGCGTTCCGGACAAAAATCATCGTGACAGTTGAATTTATCAAGTTTACGTATAAATTATTTATCAAAATATCCCGAAACAAATATGCTAAAACCGTGACCTAACCGTGTTTACTTTT